GAGATGCCTCCTACATTTTCTCTATTTTTAAGGAGTGCTTTGCTTACTGGGGGCTTCTTTCCATTCCAAATGAAACTAGAGATTACCTTTTCCATCTCCTTGAAGAATGGGATTGGTATTTGTATTGGGATTGCATTGAACGTATAAATTGCCTTTGGTACTATTGCCATTTTCACAATATTGAGTCCTCCTATCCATGAGCAAGGGATATTCTTCCACTTCTCCAGGTCTCTTTTTGGAGAAAGGAACTCTTATACATTGTTGGTGGGATTGTAAAATGGTACAGCCATTCTGAAAGGCAGTTTGGCGCTTCCTCAAAAAGCTGAACATAGCAATTCCATATGACCCAGTTATTCCATTGCTTGGAACATACCCTGAGAATATGAGAACTGAAGCACAAAATGAGATTTGGACACCAATGTTCATAGCAGCGTTATTCACCATCACAAGAACATGAAAACAACCCAAATGTCCAACCACAAACAAATGGATTGAGAAAGTATGGTACATTCACACAATGGAATACTATGTAGCATGCAGGAGCAATAACTTTGTAAATTATTATCTAACTTGAGAGGGACTGGACAGCATTATGTTGAGTGAACTCAGTCCCACAAGGATAAATATTGTATAAGACCATTATTGTAGAATGAGTATAAGGATCCAGGAGGGGTGGGAGAGGCTGGAAGCAGAGGGATGTGGATGTACAGGGGGAAGAAAGGATTAATCATTGAGTTGTACAATTTGATGGGTGGGGGGGTTGAGGGAAATGGAAAGAATTTATTCAAATTTGTCTTTGAATTTTGTAAATAAACTAGTAGAGGGAAATGCAGTCTTAAAAATTTGATGGTCATTTCTACTCATCTGTCAGGGTAGAGTTAGAATTAAACTCTACAGTTATGATCATTTCTAATTAGGAAGAAATCCTGGTAGTAAAACATTAGTATAATGGAGAGTTATCATGGACTACCTTGCTCCTTGTCTTTCTCCTGGAACTATCAAAAAACATGCCTGTTTGGTACTTTGAAGGTTTCACTAGTCTTTTTGACAAAATTTAGCTCTATACTTATAGATAAGTAAGAAATACATACATACATACATACATACATACATACATACATACATACATACATACATAAAAACAAACCCACAAAACAGACAT